TTGGGTTGCCAATTCTTTAAGTGTTAGGGAAATAAAGTGAATAAAATATATAATTTGTACCAACCTATGCAAATAATGGAACAGAACTTGTGGGAGACAAAAAGTCACAAAGTGGAAGATTAAACATGATAGCTAATATTATAAATAACAGTCCTAAAATTCTGTGTGTATATAGCTGGCATCATTTTAATTCTTACTTGACAACATATAAAGAACTGCTCTGTGTTTCTTTCCTATGTTGATGAGAAGCAAGAGTGCAAGAGGCAGGAAATGGTCACCTCAGCTATGAGGTGAGAGAAGGAGGATGTCTGGGTTGCTATCAGAGACTTCCTGTGCTAAATCTCTGAGGCTCAGAGGTATTTCCATGTCAGTAATGAATAAGGTCAGCCTAAATACATTTCCTGTATGATTTCAGAAAAGCTCCTCCTTCACTGCTTCTGTCCTCAGACACAAGAGGAAAACTCAATACATTTCATGGTTTGTTTTTTTTTTGGGATACAAATATTTTCATATACACTCTAATAGCATAATCTTTCTCTTGCCACTTACTCATTTCTTTCTAACAATTAATTTTAAACAAACAGAAAGCTAGTCAGGGGCAATATTCATAGGAGCCTGAATGTCCAAAATCATGGTTTTCCTTCAGCAATATCTTGAGTAGGAAAAAGAAAAGTCACTTAGAATAAAAGCAGTAAGGCTACATACATATATAAGGAAGAAAGTTGGCAGGGGATAATGATTCTGAGGTGACTTTATATATAACTGCTAATTCAGCACCTCTGAATTTCGGGGAAGAATCAAGTAGCCATTATTTCTGCAGATTATGCCTCTTCATGGATTATTAAGTACACTGGGGGAACTCAGCAACTGTGTATCCCAAACCCAAGTATGATAAAAGGGAGGAAAAAAAATAAGGACCAAGAGGCAGAGAAATGAATTGCTATTTCCCCTCCATCCACTCCTCCCAAGATAAGTTGCTTCTTAGTAGCACACCTTTGCTACCCTGACAAATCAAAATACATCTCACTCAGAATTGTTGTCTGGCATTTATGAACAAAATGTGAAATTAAGTTAAACAAGGTAAATTACGAAATAATATTTACTCTCAAAAATAAGTTGAAAATTGATGCCTGTGCATGTTTAATGCCTCATCAGTGGCCTTCAGGTTCAGTTTTATCATTATTATTGTTGTAGTTGTTCTGGTTAAAGAAGTTAATAGAAGATTTAATAAGTTATGAGAGAATAGCTGGTCCTCTTTCTGTGTGGCTTATTATTGGTTTCACGTTTAATTTTATCTGTAAATCTTCTCCTATTCTAATTAGAAAGCAGTAGGAAAGAGATTTCAAATAAGTCAGTGGGTTGAAATGTCAGGTCAAAAATAATACAGTAGAAACCCATTAGGATATACCAGATATTAACTCACAAATCAAAATATTAGCTTTGTGCAACAGCCTATAAATTTTGAGGAGTGGAGCCACATCTGTTCCATTTATCACTAGATCCCCAGCCTCTGTTACAATGCCCAGCATATAATCTGCACACAAATATTAACTAACAATAACATAATAACATGGATGTAATAGCTTAGCACAGATATTAACCCTATCCCCTAATGCCAACATGATGCACTCCCTTGTGTTTTTTTTACCTTAAATTTAAGAAATGAAATAAAACACTAATATAATAGTATACAATATTGTAAAAAAAAAATTGTTTGACATATATATCTAAGGCCATGTGAATAAAAGACCTGAAAGGGCATTTTGTACATAGATATGAAGGTACTATAACACCACCAGTGAAGATGAGAATTTAAATGAATACTTTATAAAGAGCCATTTATTTCATTCTGGGATATCTACAAAGTGACAAATGTCAAAAAATTACATGGCTCTCTGGGAACATCAGGGCTATCTATACCTAAGTTTCAGAAAGATGAAGAAGAGTCTTAGGAGCAAGATTGAAACAAATAAGAAAAATATAGATGTCTAAAGGTGAATGCTCAAAGGAACAAAGATGACTTGAATGATCAGTAGATCATGGGAAATAATCAAGAGATTATTCATAAGAAAATGTTAAATAAAATTGTCGTCAGTCTTTTTTTAAAAAGTAAACACTTAGGGTAGGTAATGATCTGAGGCATTTCTTGGAATAAATTAAATAAAAAGATAATTTGCTAGTTATCTAAATTTATGAGATGAAAAATTAAAACGCAATGAATTTGCATAATTAAAAGAGACAAGTACTAAACTTTACTTGCCCTGGAAGGGTAAAAATGTAAACCTAAATCAGATTGCTTACACGAAATACTATTTATAAGTGGATTCATTTTTTTTACCCTAAGACCACTCAAGGGCTAAAAGAGATGGCTGGAAACCTGTTGATTTTACCAAACAGCAATGTAAAGGTAGAGGAAAAAATTACTTTGGAAAAAATTCTCAGTGTCCTGAAAGGCAGACTGCCCATTTGGAAAAAGAGTGAAATAATTAAACTGATAGTAATCCATAATTATAATTCTCTTCATGTTAAAGCAATGAATTGAATTCCAGGTAAAAAGTTGTCGAATCCCAATATTCACGCTAATCTAAGGCCTGCATATACACTTTGCTAGGTACCATTTTTATGGTGGACTAAGCCTGTATGGCTAGCCACACAGTGAATTTTATATGTGCAGTAAATCACATAGGTATAGAGGGTGGTGCCTCATGTTTACCTATTGAAATACAAGCATATGTAAAGTATAAATATGATTTTTATACTTCATTATATTAACTCTTCTTACAGACCAACATGGGCAACTATGTTTTTAGAGACACAATAGAAATTTCTTAAGTCTCCTACCTATCCCTGAGAATGGTCCAGAGCTCTCCACCTAGGCAAGCTTCCATCAACATATACAAATATTTGCTGTCCTTAAATGTTCTGTATAGTCTGTAAATTGCAAATGAGAAAAAGGTTATAAACACTGTCTTTTAAAAGCATGTAAGTTTTGAGGGCTCAGATTATATTTTTGATTTTCCAACTCAAAATTTTATCAGAAGTATAAGATCTAAGTTCACAAATAGGGAAAAGAAGCTAATGGCTCATGAATAGGATTTTAATAGGAGAGACTAGGGTGCTAATCTCTCCCTCGAAATGGATTAATCCTAATGATTATAGACAAAGGGGGTTTTTTGGGATTCTTTCAATTCCAATTTGGCTGTTGTTTCAAGCAAGGACTCTTGAGCAACATTTAATGGTCATAAACATGCAGTGTATATGAATATAAAGTAGATTAAATTTTACAAATATAGACATGTATGAAATTCATGTGCCATTCATTTAAATTCATGCTATATCCTTTTTCAGCAAGTGCCACTGGAAAATTAACAACAAAAATTTTTCTGCGTATAAAAAACTCCCCATTATCCTCTTATTGGTACTGAGGTGGAATGGTCACTGCCATTTCATTTTTTTTAGATCTTCAAAAAATATTCAAATAATTAAAGGTTAAGTAGTTTGATTTTTGACATTTTGTCTTTGAAGCACCAGAGGTCTATGTAATGTTTGGGGGTACAAAAAGAGGATAAAAATGGAATGTTAGAAACTCTGGTACCTCCTTTGGAGAAAACACATTCTTTTTAGAGACTCCGATTCTCTTTCAAAAAGGGAGGAGAGAATCAAAACTTTTTTTCTTTTTAAATCAAACAACTTCCTTAAGATCAGATTAAAAAATAAGTTTCTCTGCATGAATGAAATGCATCAACAGTGAGCACAGTGGCTGAGGGTTTTGTGGTTGATCTGCCACTTGCAAGTGGCTGCTTCTGTCCCTGGGACAGGATCTTACCTCACTATGAAATCGGAATGAGCCCCCTGCATAATCTGCTTCTCGGAGCGGATGTGCTCCTGCTGTCTTGTATCCACAATGTGGCGTTTTTTGAGGATCTTCATTGCAAACGTTTTGGATTCTTCACTTTTCAACTGGACCTTAAAGAAAAGGAGAAGAAAGTAAGTGAGAAAAAACCTGTAGACTTAATATAACAGAGTGCATGGTTATTCCCAAGTAACAGGTGCACAGAGCGCTTAAATGAACCCCAACCATCACCCAAGTCACGCACACACACACACACACACAGTTTAAGTCCTTGCCAGAGCTGAGTTTAAAATCCAGGTCTCACAACTATCATCCAATCTCATTTTACTGAATTGGAAGAGTTTTAACTAACTCGATTCCAAATTAATTTTGTTCCCATGTGGATCAGAAGAGGAAAAATGTACTTAATTTTAGTTTTATTATTTCATTTCATTTTATGTAATATGTTTGAGTATTTTTTAAAAGTTTTTCTCTTTCAATCACAAAAATAGAAATAAAAACTAATTTCTTCTCCAATTTTACTTCAAGTAAAGATGTCAAAAATAGATCATATGGGCCTTTATGTTCTGCCTCCAAAGTTCTAGTCCACAATGGCTTTAGAGTTTTTATGTTCATTGGAAGACCCTTCCCTCTGCTGAGGCTGCAGCCTGTTATTTTTTCAGTACTGCCTGTACTCTTATTCTCTTTTTACCCCTCAGTCTTTTTCCTTCCTACAGTTTAAAAAGAAAAAAAAAGTAACAAGATTTTTTTCAGAAGATTTTGAAAACTATTTTTTTTTTCCTTCTAAAACATGCATGATGACATTAACCCTCTCTGACCTCAAACCTTACTCTTGAGTAATCAGGGGGACCTAAGCTGAGCCTTACTGTCTTCAACGTGCCATGCCTCTGTTGCAGCCCACTTGGCTCTCTGTGGTTCTGGAGGTGGCCTGTGTCCTCCAAATGCCATATCTCAGAAAGCCTCCTGATCTAGGTTCACTGTTTTATAAGAAATTTTAGCAAAGTGACTTGTATGGAAAGGAAGAGAGATAATAGAACTAATCATTTAATAGCAATAGAAGGGTGTTATCATCTAGTGCTCTTGAGTAGCAGAATCCTCAAGACCATACCAAACAGCCCACATTATTCAGAATTAATGACGCCCCGGGGAAATAACGTTGTACACTGTTTCTGCTTTTCAGCTAAAGTAGAGCTGTCTCCTTTTTAGTTGTGAATTATTTACTGCTTCATCAGCAGGGATAGTGAAATTCTTAAGTGTCTTCTTCATGCACGCATGTACAGATTGAATTCTATCTAAGAGGACATTCATGTGGCGAGCTCCTTAGAAGGGAGCATGAGGACACTTCCAATAAATAAGCCTTGCTTTGCTGCCAACATTTGTGAATCTATATGACCGGTTAGAAGAAAAAGTGGATATTTGAAAATGCCTTTACCAGCTAAAGGCTCTCTACTCTGTCTGTGAAACTCTTTAAGATGACAGATTAGTGTGGTTCACAAATGAATTTGCTTGTAGTTCGTAATGAAATCCAAAAAGTGAAAACTCACTTCTAAAAGAAATGCGGACAAAGAAGGAAGATGGCATGAAAAATGAGCTAGGTCAGAGTACTGCACTTGAGAGGAAAAGGAATAATGTCATATTCCCTCTTCGGTCTCACCCAGTTAAACTACTGAGGACTGTTGTGGAGTTCAGACAGCTAATGTAAAAATTATTCTCTTTAGTGATGACAACACAGATTTTTCACTTGTGTACATGGTAGGAGGAAAGAACTCAGCCGTAATGGTCTTGGGTCTGGATTTGAATTCTAACTCCACTTAATCTCTCTCAGGCTTTTGGGTCATTGCTTAACTGCTCTGGGCCCTAACTCTTGTTGAGGAGAATACTAGCTACCTCATACAGTTATTGTGATCTTAAATGACAGTGTGCCACGAAATGGGCATTTCTTGATGGTCTCTTTGCTTGTATCTTTGCCCTACCCAACAATCTGTACCGAATAGGGAAAATCAAATGTTGCTTCTTTAAATGTTGCTTTTGCAGAGGAGCAAATTAAGGTTTACCAAAAAGGTTCATGTTTTGCCCAAGGCCACAAAACTACAAGTGGCAGAAAGGGGTTTGCGTTCAGGTCTCATTGGCCCAAGCTGTTTCCAGTATGTGCTGCTTCCTTTCGGCTAAATACAAAACAAATTAAACGCACAGTGATGGCACTTTATAAATCAGAGTTTAATCAGAGTTTAATGGAATCAGCTAACTCATAGACTCTCTGGGAGAAAAGCTGAAAGATGTATTTATTACCTTTAAGCTTCACTTATGCCAGGTGTGTGGTTTGGGAGACCAGCCAAAGCCTCACTTTGCCATTTTCCTAGGCACTTAACAGGACCTCCATGTGTTATCGGGGATTGAGACACCTGACTGCTTGAATACTACAAGGAGAAGCCAAGGTGGGTGGGAAGAGGGTGATGAGTGCTGGCAGGTGGCAGACGGCATGAGAGGTAAGTAACAGCTATAGAGATGGTTGCGAATCAGCCTTAGTAGTTGCCAATTTAGAAAGTATTCCTTACAAGAAGTTTACAGAACATATAGCCAGCTTACTGAGGCTTTCTGTTTTTGGTCTTTACTTTGAGTGGAGGCAGTCCTGGGGGCTAGAACCATCTTTCTTCTTTGCATTCTATAAAAAACCTCATGAGTCCTTAGAATCTCCGTTTCCAATTTCCACTAGAATATCACAGAAGCCAGGCTTCTAACCAGGAAGTCAGAGCACCTGAAAACAACTGGTGAACTAACTCAACAGTCAATAATGTGGGAGTTAATTCTTTGAATAAAGCCCCACTAACATGTTTATCAGAAATCTCCTGATAGACTGACAACTTTTCAAAGATGATTCAGGAATGTTCAACTTGACATTGTTTCTAACAAAAAAAATTTGGAATCAATCTAAAAGTCTATCAAGAGGAGCTTGGAAAAATAAGTTATGGTATGTCCATGCAATGCAGGTATACAAATGATGGCTTAGAATTATATCTAATATTATGGAAAACTAATCAAAACATACATGAATAAAAGACACCGGTTACAAACCAGCTTACATCTTATGATCCTATAAATAGCGTGTTTGTATGTGAGTGTGTATCTAACTCTATATTTATATCTAAAATAAATTTACGAAAAGCCAATCAGAAATGTGTTCACTGATACATTCATTAATAACGTTTTCCCTTAGGGAGATTTTTAGTTGATTTTTAACTTCTTTTTACTTTTTGAATTGCTTAACTTTTGTACAATTATAATATCTGACTTTTACATGAGTAAAAGTAAAACTCTAGTCATGGAAAAAATTTAAAAGTTTCTTTTAAATTGTAATAGCTACTTATTTTCATTGTCTGACCTCAAATTGATTCTACTACTCGAACTCCATGAATACAAAGACCTTGAGAAGTTGTATATAGCATAGCAACCTATTCAAGTTTTGGGCTGAACTATACTATTCATCTCCTTAAAAAACTTATCATAGGCTGGGCGCAGTGGCTCACGCCTGTAATCCTAGCACTCTGGGAGGCCAAGGCGGGAGGATTGCCTGAGCTCAGGAGTTCGAGACCAGCCTGAGCAAGAGTGAGACCCCCGTATATACTATAAATAGAAAGAAATTACCCAAACAACTAAAAATAAAAAAAAATAAAAATTAGCTGGGCACGGTGGCGGGTGCCTGTAGTCCCAGCTACCTGGGAGGCTGAGGCAGGAGGATCGCTTGAACCCAGTAGTTTGAGGTTGCTGTGAGCTAGGCTGACGCCACGGCACTCTAGTCCAGGCAACAGAGTGAGACTGTGTCTCAAAAAAAAAAAAAACTTACCATTTTTTTCAAAATAAAGCCTCAGAGTAAATTAAAGCAATTTATATTTAGTGAGCCTAAGGTATTATGTTTTAATATATAAGTATTTTAATAAACCTGATCCATGACAAATTATACATTGAAATTTAGTTTGCTTTTTATTTTTCTTGTAGGCCAAATTAATTATGCTAAGTCTAATTGTGCCAATTTGAAAGGATGATGATTTTTATTATTTTATAGCAGGTCAGCTAGAGCTATGAAATTAGTCTTGAGTGTGGAAGGAGGTTGGCAAAACAGGAGGACAAGAATGCATATGTTTCTACTTCCTCTTCCCCAGGAATCCTTCCCAGCCTAGTTGGTTAGACATGTTCTTCAGGTGTGTCCTCCTTTGCAGACTATCCTAACCTCCTCAGTGTACAGGTTAATGCACTGGTCAGGAGGGGGACAAGTCTGATATTTGACTACTTTTGTTTAAGTCTCAACTAATTTTTTTTGTTTGTGATCTTGGACAAGTTACTCAAACTCTCTCTGTTCCTGTTTCCTCACCTGTAATATCGGGACAATTTTCACAGGCTACCTACAAAGGTGAAATAAAGGGCCTATATATCAAACAAAGTGTCTGGAATAACATATTAAGTAAATATGAGCTGCTTTTATTCACACGTGCTTCTTAATTTAATGGTCTCTGCAGCCCAAAGCTATTACCTCAAAATATGAGCCACCACAAGCTGAATGTCTCTTTGTTCCTGTTTCTATCCCCACCTCAACCCACCTCAGTGCTAATAGGTAACTAAATAAAGGTTGGGAAGCTAGTTGTAAAAGATTGCCCATGCATATGAATGCATACTTGAGCAAAGTGAATCTTAAGGTGGGAATTTCTGACAAGGATTTTGACAAGTTCTTAACTCTTAGTCTCCAGTTGATGCTAAAAAATACTGGCCTGAAGATGAGAGGTGATGCCATCAGCATTTTAAAGAGCTTTGAAGATGCATTTGTTAGCTGTATTTATTTATTTATTTATTTTTTTGAGACAGAGTCTCACTGTGTTGCCCGGGCTAGAGTGCCGTGGCATCATCCTAGCTCACAGAAACCTCAAATTCCTGGGCTCAAGTGATCCTCCTGCCTCAGCCTCCCGAGTAGCTGGGACTACAAGCATGTGCCACCAAGCCCGGCTAATTTTTTCTATATATTTTTAGTTGTCCAATTAATTTCTTTCTAATTTTAGTAGAGGCGGGGTCTCGCTCTTGCTCAGGCTGGTTTCGAACTCCTGAACTCAAACAATCCGCCCGTCTC